TGATTTCAATTGTTTACAAATTCTTTCTCTGTCCTGTGATTTGTTCAAGGTACTCAGTAAGCAGACAAGTCTATAAAAAGACAGAAGGCACGTTGTTTTTCACTAAAGATGACCCTGGGATCTCAGTCTTTCAAAAATAGATTCTGCTTTTGCCTTCCCTGGAAGAATGGAAACCTTAGGTTTTTAGAAGCAAGGAAGGGAAAAATGAAGTGCATAAATTGTAAACAAACAACCTCAAACAGAATGAAGTATTTTTTAATTAAGTCTAAGTTATAGTTCCAGAAGGTGCCTCTTGTAGCTTCATTCCTGTGAGTATCTAAGAACTACAGAGAGGATGGCTTCCCACCCTGAGATACAGACGTTGTGTTAGTTGAATGAGATGCCTATAAGGATGAAACTGGATACAGCTGGGTACCCAGAACCAGGCACTGGTTTCAGATCTTCTTGTGATTAGCCTTATCTCATTTGGGGACATTTCTGTTTCTATGTTCCCTGTCAGTGACCTCGATCAAACATTCAGTCCTTATTTCAAGTCGTGTACAAAGCACCTATTTGGGACATAGCCCTAGGCAGGAATCTGAGGACCCAGAAATGGATGAGATCAATTCTTGCTCTCCCAACACCTACAGCCAAGAACAGTGCCCCCAGTTCCACTGAGTAAAACGGAAGGGGCTGGTTGGGGTTGCCTATGGGAGCTGGTGGGAGGTGTGATATGGTGATTTGAAACAAGAAACACGTAACAAGTCTTTCTCCCTGCTTCTGGCATAGAGGTCCTAAAACCCTCAGTATTTCCTAAGTGATAAGAGCGATAAAGGTGTCTTAATACTCGTAACAAACCTTTTCAACTTCACCTGAGTTTATGGGAAAGAGGTGACTTTTGGAAAGCACCTAAGGATGGTTGCCAGGGGAACCAGCCCTGTGATTGGAGGGCTGGAATTTTCAGTTCCGCCCTCCTGAGCTCAGCGGGGGCTGGAGGTGGGTGAACAACTGGAGATTCATTTGGGGAGGGGCAGCCTTGAAGAGGGCACAGAAGTGCCACATCTCTTCCTGCACACCTTGCCCTGTGCATCTCTTCCTTCTGGCAGTCCCTGAGTTATAGCTCTTTCTAATGAACTGGTGATCTAGTAAGTAAAACGTTTCACTGGCTCTGTTTTCCGCTCTAGCAAATCCGTTGAACTAGTGGCGAGGCGGCGGCAGAAGGGCGGAGAGAGGAGGGCTTGGTGGCGGGGTGGGGGGCGGGGGGGGCATCACCAAAACCTCCAAGAATCACCAGTCAAAAGCACAGGTGACCACCTAGACTTGTGATTGCTGTCTGAAGTGGGGGCGGGGGCATTCTTGCAGGACAAAGCCTTTAACCGGTAGGGTCTAACTGTCTCCGAGTGGGTAGCGCCAGAACTGGGTTGCACTGTGGGACACCCAGCTAGTGTCGGGAGAACTGCTTGCTGGGGAGAAAAAATTCACACGTGGTGCCTGGTGATGGGACTCTCCCAGGGTCTAGAGGCCCGGGTGACACACGTCCAAGGAGTCATTCTCTTCCTCAGACGCCTTCAAAGATCTCTTTGTACACCTGATTGCGAATTTTTTTAATTCATAGATTCAGTGATTACCACGTGGCAGGCACCCACTGGATCTCCTTGGATGTCAGCTTATTTAATCACTTAGTCACATCAGGGGTGCGTGTGTGCATGCCAAGTTGTTTCAGTCGTGTCTGACTCCTTGTGACCCTATGAATGATAGCCTGCTAGGCTCCTCTGTCCACGGGATTCTCAGTCAAGTATACTGGAGTGGATTGCCATGCCCTTCTCCAGAGGATCTTCCCAACCCAGGGATTGAACCCTCATGTTTTAGGTCTCCTGCATTGGCAGGTGGGTTCTTTACCACTTGCACCACCCGGGAAGCCCAGTCAGGTCAGGAGTTTGTTGTTCAGTCACTCAGTCATGTCCGACTCTTTGAGACTCCATGGACTGCAGCCTGCCAGGCTTCCCTGTCTTTCAGCATTTCCCGGAGCTTGCTCAAACTCACATCCACTGAGTCAGTGATGCCATCAAACCGTCTCATCCTCTGTCGCCCCCTTCTCCTCCTGCCTTCAATCTCTCCTAGCATCAGGGTTTTTCCAGTGAGTTGGTTCTTCGCATCAGGTGGCCAAACTACTGGAGTTGCAGCTTCAGCATCAGTCCTTCCAATGAATATTCAGGGTTGATTTCCTTTAGGGTTGACTGGTTTGATCTCCTGCTGAGACTCAAAGACAAGAGTAAATTCTTAAGTGGCAGATCAGGATCCAGCCCAGAGCTTCTAGTTACAAACTCAGGGGTGCTGTGTCCCCAGAACCACACTCTGCCTTCCAAAATGAATCCTTGGTATCTTTAAATGCCTAGCGGACTCCAGACTTCAGATGAATAAACTTGATGGCAGAGTGTGCATTGGAGACGGTGCCAGCACCAGGTGTGTGATCCAACTACTTCATCTTACAAAAGAGGAAATGTGGCCCAGAGAGGGAGTTGACCCTCCCAAAGTCACTCGGCTCTGGGCCAAGCCTGGAAGCCGGGTGTCCCCCTCACTGCCCTATGCCCAGCTCCACGCCACCCGCACGTCTCCTGTCCCTCCCTCACCCTCCAGTGACATGTGGGTACGACTCGAAATCCATCTCAATGGAGTCGCTGTAAATATTTTCCATTTGGCTTGCAGGTTAGCAAGATTCCTTTTCTGCCTTGCAGTTTCAGACAATTTATGCTTCCATTCTCAAAACAGATTTCTACCCTAATAAAGGCTTTTATTACTATTATCCACCTGTCATTACAAGGCATTAGACAATCACAGAGCACAAACTGACTCTCCCACCACGCACCTTCCCCTGTACTCTTGGCAGGGGGAGGGGCGCACATAAACAGAACATTTCATTAAAAAAATAGAGATGAATCTTCCATTTTTTAAAGCACTGCCAAGACTGCTACCTTCGCTTTTGAAAACTTTGTTGTGAAAAGTCACTGGCGAGAGCGCGAGGGGAATAAAAAAGAAGTGTGGGCTAGAAAACCATCTCCAGCCCCGTTTTGATTGCCAGACGATTGACAAAATAATTTGTACCCGTCGATGCTCATGAAGGGAATTTTTACAATGGATTTGCCAAGCAGATTTTTAATTTTAATCAGTAATGAAAAAATGACAACCCGGATCACAACAAGACATCAGTCGCCGAGCGGGCTTTGCAGTCTCTGTCAGGCAGCCTCCATCAGGGACCCGCACCTCCGTGAACATCAATCACGGGTTTCAAACTCCTGTATATCTTCAGGATTTAATTAGACATTTAAGTTCTTTACCCGCAATTTGCAAAACTGTCACTTACCAAAACTGCAAGATGCTAAAAAATGTTCTGTGTGAGTCCCGGGAGTTTGTTTATTAACAAGCTGGAAATTAACCTTCGGACACCCACTAGGCACCTTCATTCAGCTCTGTCCTTTGACCCACAGCTATAGATATTTTCAAAAAGCAAAACATTAAAAGTTGATGAGCGTGGTAAAAAGCTGCACCCAACTCTGCCGTGGGAAGACAGGGAGAGGAGGAATCGATGTGATGGAATGGAACTTATTTTGAGACTTCCTTGGGCATGATGCCTGGCCATGGTACAGAAGATGGAAGGGCTTTAGAAGCAGGTTTGGGTCCTGGCTCCGTTCCGTACCTGCTGTGTGGCCTTGAGTCAATCACCTGGCCCCTCTGAGTGTTTGTTGCCTATACACCTAGAAATAGATAAGTAAAAGCATGAATAAATAAATAACCACCCTTCGTTAATGAATTGCAACGGTTTATATAGAACTGCTATAGAATGCCTGCTTGTTGTTTAGTCTCTCAGGCGTGTCAGATTCTTTGCAACCTCATGGACTGTCTGACTCATGGACTGTATCCCACCAGGCTCCTCTGTCCGCAGCATTTCTCAGCTAAGAATACTGGAGTGGGTTGCCATGCCCTCCTGCAGGGGCTCTTCCTGATCCAGCGATCAAGCCCACGTCTCCTGCATTGGCAGGCAGATTCCTTACCACTGAGCCACCTGCGAGACCCTGGGAGAGGAAAAGAAACAAACCTTCACAGGGCTGGGAAGCCCATGTAGAGTGCCTAAACCGAGGTTAATTCCACCTTGTCTGACAGGCACCTGAAGCTTGTGCAGAGATCAGGAAACGTCCCACCCATGTGAACACGGATGTAGACAGACACTCGCGGTCCATGAATGCAGAAGACAGATCAGCACTGCAGCTACCCTAGCAGGAAGAAGGGTCCCTCGCATCAGCCCAGCACAGTGACCTCCTGTCCCAGGATCGCTGGCCAGCAGCTGTGACTTGCAAGACATATAGTATATTTACTGTCTGGGGCTTTCACGTTCCCCTTCTAAAGCCCCTAACGCTGTGTTTGCTTTGAAATCTTTGGGACTTGGAGGTTTTCGTTCTGTCTGGTTTTCTGGTCTACATGTTGCAGAAATACATCTTCTCGGTTTAATTTTTCATTGACAAGAAGGTGACTTGGAAGATGAGGCTCCCGAGGTTTGCTGCGCCTCTTAGCTGGGTTGTACCACTCGGGAAATAAGCAGGGCCTTCTCCTTTAAGAGAACCTTGGCTTAGCCGGGCGCATTATTGAAATGAACATAAAAGGTGGATTGTGAAAAACCTATTACTCACAGATAAGAAATGCACCCCAGGCAAAGCTGAGGAGGGTAAACTTCTTTTCCAGCTGAAGTTTCTTTCAAGTAATGGTCCCTCCCTGCCCCCGAGAGTGGGATGGGGAATTATGGCGCCTGCAAGGACCTTCTCACCTTGCCCAACTGTCCACATTAAGACAGGCCCCCGTGTTAAACCAGTTCACTAGTCAAAATGACAACATGGATTTTGCAGTTTCACCCTTGCTGAAATTACCTGTACTCACTGAATCCCCACCACCTTCCTGCGGGAGACGGACCAGGCACTGTCTCATTACCTACTAACCAGCCTTCCATCCCCATCTTCCAGGTGACCACGAGGCCCTTTTCCCTCCCCTCCTTCCTGTCCAGCCTCTGCTGCAGACTCAAAGAGCCCAAATCTCAGGATGCAAGAGCTGGCAGCCTTGGCAAGTCCAGGCTGGGGCTTTCAACCCCATTTGGGTGCCAAACTCTGCTGTGTGATGGTGGCTAGCTGTGTACCTTCTCCGGGCCTTGGCTTCCGCAGCTTCTCCTCTGGTTTATGCAGCCATGACCATGGATGAAAAAAATGTGCATCTAGAAAAAAAAATAATAAATTTGAGAATCAGCAGACGTAGGTTTCAATCAACTCTGTCATGAGTTTCTGCCTCTCTGAGTGTGTATATGTGTGTATACCTGTTTTCGTGCATCCGTAGAGCGTGGCCCATCGTGGGCTCTTGACAAACACTGATTGACTAAAAGAACAAAGGTGGTCCTCTTCTCTGCTTTCAACACATGCAGCATCCTCCAGATAACACCTACTCCATTCTACAGGGAACCCAGGGCCTGGCCTCCCACCCCGATGCTGAACAGGACCCGGGCATCGCTCCTTCCAGACGCCGCCTTCCCACCAGAGCCGCAGCCGGTGACCAGGAAGCACAGCGGAGGTGCAGAGCAGCTCGTCCCATCTCAGTGAAGGCAGGCGCAGGGTCCACACCCACAGAGGCGCCCCTGGGCAGCACCACCCTGGGTGACCTCCCTGGTGCTGTGGGAACAGTGGCTGGGCAGAGCCATGCCAGCCCTCCGTGGGCCGGGGCGGGCCGGGGCGGCAGTTCACGCACTTCAGACGTGTGTGTGTGTGTGTGTGAGCGCCCTTCATAATAGGGCTTTGTCCCGGCCCCAGTGAGCCAGCGTCTACAGAGCCCTGGGAGGCCAAAGGCATCAGCCCACATACACAATGCCACCTTTCAGCTCTGCGAGGTTCTGTCCAGAGCCCGGAAATGCAAGAGCATCCAGGGAGAAGCAAGGCAGGTCCTAGGAGGCCATCTGCCAATGCCTCTCTCTGGGGCTGGAGGGACGCCAAGAAGTCAGCACCTCTCCCCTGGGCATTTGCAGAGAGGAACGCGATGTGGACCATGAGGAAGAGGGAGGAAATCTCTACCCATTGGGTGCTTGCTGTATGCCAAGCACTGTGCCAGGCACTTGAGATTCTTTGTCTCACCTCTGGGAGGGTACATTATCATACCCATTATACAGCTGGGTAGACTGGGGGTCTGAGTAGTAAAGTGACCTGCCCACAGTCCCCAAGAACCCGGGTGTCTCTTCCTCCAAGGCCTGTGCTCTTTCCCCTCTTCCTCATAGAATCTCCCTCTCCAAACATCCACCTACCTCTCTCACCTCTGCTGGAACAGACCCAGCTGGGTAGAATGGCATTTGAATCCCTGAGCACCCACCCCCCACCCCATCCCCCGCAGCTTCAACCTCACTCAGCTTCTTGCTCCACCTGGGTCATTCTGAGCACGGAGAACTTCCTACAAAATGTTGCTTCATTGGCCACCCCCCAACTGCCCAACAATACCCTCTCTTCTCCCAGGATGGTCAGGAAAGGCATCAGAACCTGGCCTGTCCCCGAGGCTCCGTCGCTCACCCTTCACCAGCTGGGCTGTGGCTCCAGGGGCAAACACTCGGTGCTTTCCCCAGACCAACTGAGGACCAGCTGAACTCCCCTCCAGGGAAAACTGTGGTTCACCACTCTCTCCTCTCCCATGGGCCACGTCTCAGCATCCAGAGACGGTGAGAAGGGTGAGAAGACCTGCCCTAGGCCATTGAGGCTGTAATCAGGGACAGCACCATGAGCTCTGAAAAACTGGTCCAGTGTTCAAGCTCACCATCTACACCAAGCCTTTCTCCATCTCCACCAAGCCTTTCTCCATCTCCACCAAGCCTTTCTCCATCTCCATGTACACTTGGCAGGGCATCCAAGATGAGGTTTGCTTTTGTAAAAGCCTGGGTTCTAGAACTAGAGATTCTTTGCCAACAGAAGGCAGCAGAAGGCATGAGAGACCAGCAGTGGAAGAGTGGCGAGGTGACCTGAGTATCAGAAGCAGAAAGACCTGGGTTCGAGTGACAGCTCCACCACTTCCAAGCTGTGTGACCTAGGGTGAATTCCTTAACCTCTCTGAGCTTCTGTTTCATCATCTGTATTTGGGGCAAAGTATCTTCATCATCAGCCTACCTCATAAGTGTGTTCTGTACTCTTGGCACAAGAAATGCTCCAAGAAGTTTTTCTGTAAATGTTACTATTGACCATCTTTATCATCACCCTCATGCTTTAAGGCTGAACTGTGTTTCTTGTTGTCTGGGGAACCTAGACAACTGGGTCTCCTTTCCTTTATCTAGAGAATAAAAATAAGACTCTCTACTGTGGAAGGATCCAATAAGATAACATGCATTGTTTTGTGTGACACCCAAAGAGAATCATATCATCAGCTCTCTGATCAGTTCAGTAGTTCAGTTGACTCTTTGCCACCCCATGGACTGTATCCTGTCAGGCCTCCCTGTCCATCACCAACTCCCAGAGCTTTACCCAAACTCATGTCCTTTGAGTCAGTGATATCATCCAACCATCTCATCCTGTCGTCCCCTTCTCCTCCTGCCTTCATTCTTCCCTAGCATCAGGGTCTTTTCAAATGAGTCAGCTCTAAGCATCAGGTGGCCAAAGTATTGGAGTTTCAGCTTCAGCATCAGTGCTTCCAATGAATATTCAGAACTAACTCTCTAATAGGTGTTTGCTTGTTTGTTTCATTTGTCAGATCAACTCAATATGCCTAGTCCTCAAAGATAATGATACTCAGGGCCACTGCTGATGGCAAGCTGTCAAGCAAGGGGGCCCAGACCATCAGGGGCTGCGTCACAGCAACTAAAGTGGCGAAGTCGGAGCCACGCCCACGTCCAGAGGACAGTCTGCCTGGAGCGCAGCCAAATCTCAGTGCCACGGAGTGCAGCCACAGGGACCGCTCATCTTCAAGGTGATCTTTGGGAACCATCTGTGTGTCCGAACTGGAAGTACAGACACTGAGCTGGCCCTGCCCTCCTTCATTCCACATGGCTGCTGGCTACAGGTCAGGGAGTGCCTACAAAGGGAGGAAGACCCGCCAAATCAAGGCACTACTCTCAGCTCCTCCTGGCCTCAGCCTGCCCCTGCCTGCCCCTGCCCCCACCCCAGGCTCACCCAGGGCAGGGGTGAGGGGGTGCTCTATGCTCAGGGCCCCCTTGGTTTCCTCTCCATCCTCCCCACGCCTGGCTCTCCCCCTCCCTCCCTCCTCCTCTCCTCCCTCCTCTCTTCATCCGTCTCCTCTCTTCCCTGTTCTCCATCCCAAGTAGCGAATCTTTATGGACACTTGACTGTAGGACAGGCCCGAGGTGGTCAGTCCATTATAATATCTCCTTCTTCCAGCACCCTGGGAAGGAGGAAACCAAGCCTCAGAGGGGCTAAATAACGTGGCCAATGTCACTCGGCTGTATGCCCTTGAGGGACTCAACGACAGAGTAACTGCAGATTCCGAGGAAAGAACTACCCAAGTAATATTCATCAAGGGAGTGCCTGAGAGACTAATGGTACCAGTGAATATTTGAAAGCCCAAATTTGATCTTGCGCCTGCCCAGGGTAAACCTCTGATAGGCCACGGTGACTTTCAGACTCCAGCCCGAGTCCTTGCCTGGCATTCAAAGCCCAGGTGTTGGCTTTCGCCCACCAGCAGCATCTTCTCCCCAATGGCCCAGTGGCAGCAGGCACCGTCCAGCCTTGTGGGCAGCCTCCTGAGGCAGCCATGCTTCTGAGCTCAGCACGTGGTCAGCCAGAGGGCAGCCCCCTGTCCACTCACCCGGCACTCCAGAGAACCCCTGCTCCACCCTACGCTCTCACCTACACACAGCCTCCTGTGAAGGCCTCCAGGTCCTCCCGAGCAGAGTCAGTGACTGTTCCCTGGCTTCCGAGGTTCCATGGTCCAAGTCCTCTGTGGTGGTCCATGGATGCTGCCTCCCCACGCATCCTCTGGGCTCCAGTGTCCAGGGTTGGATTTCGTCCTCCCAAAATTCATATGCTGGAGTCCTCATCCCCAGTGCCTGAGGACATGATCGGGACTGGAGAGAACGTCTTTACAGAAGTTAAGCTGGGCCATCAGGGAGGGCCCTGATCCCTTATGACCGGTGATCTCAGAAGAAGGGGAAATTTGGGCCCTAGAGAGACAGACATGCAGACATGAGGATGGCCATCAACAAGCCAAGGATGAAGGCCCAGCTAGAGTCCCCCTCACGGCCTTCAGAAGGAGCCCACCCCAAGGGCATCTTCATCTTGGACCTCCAGGACCATGGGACGATCCGTTTCTGTTGTTTAACACACCCGCTTGGCGGTACTTAATCACAGAAGCCCCAGGAAACTAACCCACCTGGGAGCCAGAACTCCCGTCTCACGTTTGAACCCCGTGTCCACCTCCATGTCCATGGTCCCTGAGGAGTAGACCCTGGTGAGAAAACTTAAGGGTGATGGACAGGTGTTTTAGGGTTAAAACCTCAACAGATCTTTGCACCAAATTAATCTAGTAATTGGAGCTTTTTTCCTCTGCTGGCCAGCAATTTTCAAATAATACACCCTGGCAAAGAGAAGTGGGGTGGGAAGCAGGGGCCTTCACTGAGTCTAACCCAAGAGCATTTACTGAGCGCCTGCTGTGTACCTAGAATAGGCTTCCATGGGTCCCTAAAGCTCTGGAGCAGACCCATGATAAGTTATTGCAATAGAAGACTTCTTCCAACACATGTGCTCACACACACACACACACATGTGCTCACACAATGCACGTGCTTACAAGCACGCATGTGCACACACGTACATACTCACCTACATGGACACTTTCTCATACATGAACACATGTGCTCACCTACACGGACACACGAACACTTACAAGTGTGCTCACACACACACGCGCACACACACACACACACATTAACAGGCAGAATTTTCTGCTTCAAGTTGTTCCTCTCCTAAATTTCTCTTAACCTTTTGACTTCTCATGCCAGCAGAAGCTATCACCTAACAGCTTCAAACTATATTTAGTGCATTTAGTCATTTTAGGTTGGAAATGCCAGCAGTGTTTCACGACATTCCACACAGTACGTCATGACCCTTTCTTTTTTTAACTTAACAATGTCAGGAGTGTCCAAACTGCTGTTAAAAAAAAAAAAAAATTTTTGTTTGTTCCAAGGAGATGGAAGAGTTTACATAGCCATTTACAAAGTCGAGTTCATCCACTAGTTCAAGAAACACCAATGAGCTCTACCATGTGTGGGGCGCATGGAGCAAAAGAACAGGGACCGTGTCTCCACGAAGACCCCCGAGACCCAGGGCGTGCGAGGCCCGTGCGGGTATCGAAGGGAGGCAGCTGGATGCACAGTCCTGTCCTGCACCCACTCGGGCCCTGCCTGCGGGACCAGCTCAGCCTTGGGTGCTGGGCGGTGGGACAGCGGGAGATCGGCCGAACCCCGGGACGAGCCTTAGCTGCCCAGTGCTGCCCAAACCGTGAGAGCAAGCCTCGGGTAAGAGCATCCGTAGGTCAGGAGGTGACCAGGGAAGGCCAGGCGACTAAGGCCAGGGCCAGATGGAGATCGCAACCCAGGGAATCTCCAAACCCTCTCACCTGCGATTCATCACATGCACGTCTGTCTGTCTGCCGGCTGTGGGCTGTTTGAGAGCTCAGTCTTCATCCCTGCCCTAGCCTGGTGCCCGCTCCACAAACACAGCCTACAGCCGACATCACAGCAGATCTTCAGGGTGGGGTCTGATTCCCTCAGAGCTCCCGGGGGCTCTGCCTTTCCTAGCTCAGAAACCCTGCCGGCCCAGCATAGCGCCCGCCCCACTGTGTGCTGACCGGCCCTCCCCTTGGGACCCAGACCCGAGCTGGAGTCATGAGAAGTGATGGTGGCTGAGCGGCAGCTGTGTGCAGGCACGTGCTGGGCGCCTGTACCCTGGGAGAGGTGGGGCGATCGGCCCTCCACACCCTGCGTGTGCCACTGTTAGCACGTGCCCAGAGCAGCCACGGTCTCCACACCCACAAGTCTGTCCGGCTCTGGTCTGAACTCTGCATTGCTCACGGACCCGAGGAGGATGATGACCACAGTGATGACACATGGCCTGAGACAGCGCACGTCCCACAGGCAGGCACGTGCTGAGCACCGGACACTTATTCTCTCATGGAGTCCTTGCCAGCCACCCCTGGAAGGAAGCGCTCATGTGCCCATTTGACAGATGAGTGTACTGAGGCATAGCCAGGAAGCCATGCAGCTCACAGTTGGCCACGCCAGCTTCCCCCAGACTCTGACCTGCTCTGGCAACCATTCTGAGGACTTCCTCCTCGTGCATGGGGGTGCTGGGAGGTGGCCAGCTTTGCCCAGAGAGAGCCCTATGAGAGCCTCCCCCATCCACAGGCTCATCGTCCCCACCTCATAGGGGAGCTGGGCCGCCCGGAGGCTGGGAAGGTGGCCAGGGTCAGAAGGTGGTAGGAGGAGGCTCCTCACCACGGGCAGAGCCAGGTGAGGGTGCTTGGAGGTCAAGGGCCCTCGTCAGGAAGTCGGAATCATGTTGGGGAAAAGCCAACTGGATGCAGAGCCTGGGACTTGCTGGGTCACAAGGGACAAAGATAGCTTCCATCTGACCCGCCGGTCAGCTGAGGACCACAGCTGTTTGAGTCTGAGGGTGAGAACTAAATGCCTCCCACTCACACCCAAGGGCTTCTCAGGTGACACAGTAGGTAAAGAATCTGCCTGCCATGGCAGGAGACACAAGAGAAGTGGGTTCGATCCCTGGGTCAGGAAGATCCCCTGGAGGAGGAAATGGCAACCCACTCTAATATTCTTGCCTAGACAATCCCATGGACAGAGGAATCTGGCAGGCTACAGTCCACAGGGTCACAGTCAGACACGACTGAGCGCGCACACACACACACACACACACACACACGCCCAAAGGTGAAGCAGCCTCCTGCACCCTGGCCTCACCAAGGGTGAGCACACCTTGGAGCCTGGTTTGAGCCCAGCTCCAGCCATCTGTGAGCTGTGTACCAACGGAACATCAGGAACCTCTCTCAGCCTCAGAGGCTGCCCTTGAAGAATGGAGACAGAGACTTCCCAAGACTTCTTTGTAATTTCAAAGCATGTTCTCCCACAGTGCCTGGCACTTCATAGGAAAAACCAATCCTCTTTTCTCTGGGAAGAAGCTAGAGCCTTCAACCAGTTCTCCTCCTCCCAATCCCAGCCCTTTGCATGTTACTGAGTCAGCACATGCATGCTAAGTCACTTCCGTCGTGTCTGACTCTCTGTGATCCTGTGGACTATATAGCCCACCAGGCTTCTCTTCCATGGGACTCTCCAGGCGAGAATATTGGAGTGGGTTGTCTTGCCCTCCAGCGGATTGTCCCAACCCAGCGGATTGTCCCAACCCAGGGACAGAGCCTATGTCTACTGCAACTCCTGCATTGCAGGCAGGTTCTTTACCACTGAGCCAGTGGGGAAGCCCTCCCTCATCCAGGCCCCTACCTAATCCAGCTGAGCTGAGTCCATGGGGGGGAGGCAGACACTATGGGAGCTTTCGCCACGGTTTCCTGGGACCCCCAGGGACCCCACTCTCCCCGACCCTAGGCTTACCCTTGGCCTCTGTGAGGGGGTAGAGGAAGCACAGGCCTACATCCACGCCTCATTTGGAGCCCTTACCTGCCTCACCCCATAGACCCATCATGCAACTCTGCAAACACACCATCGTTCCCATTCTGCAGATGAGCAAAACCAAGGCTCAGTTGTTGGACTCCCCCGGCTCACTCAGTTGGATCCAAACCCAACTCAGCTGAACCCCAACACCCAGCCACACACCCCAGAACCACGTGGGACCCAACCTAATGGCAAGTTCATCACACACACCCCAGCTCTGGAAATGAGAACCGCTCCTAGGCTGGAAACGGGCAAGAGCGACCCGCGCCGCGCCAATCATCCGGAGGAACATATGCATTTCAAGGATGGAACAGTTGCATGCTCTTTTCTACCCAAACTTAATATTTTGCATGTTCCTCTCTCAAACACCACCAGCTTTCCTGACGCCATGTTGCGTAAGCCCCAGAGATATTTTCTCTCTTCTGTTGTACCCCACACAGCGGCTGTCTTCTGAGAAAAGAAATCGACCAAGGGACAGAATCTTGTAAATATTCCAGCCATTCACTTATCCAGCATAATTACCCTGCAAAGAGCAACATTTGGGCCTCCATTCACTAGCAGATCACTAACTGCATTATGCAATCAGACGGCACACGCGGTTAGCGGGTTTGCAACGTGCCCAAGCTCAAATGGGCCATCACAGGCTTCCAGGAGTCCCCATGGACCCAGATGGACACGGCCCAGTGACACCTGCCTGGGGGAAGGCCACTGGGAAAGGTGAAGGTGAGCTCCTAAACATGGGCACTTCACCTCCTTCCTTCCACCCCATCTTTCTTCACCGGGGCCCAGTGACTTAGTCTGCTCAGGCTGCTGGAAATAACAAAACAGTCTGGGTGAGCTAACACAGAGACATTGATTTCTCACAGTTCTGGGGGAGGGCAAGTCCAAGATCAAGGTCGATTTTATTCTTGCTGGGACTCCCTTCCTGTAGACAGCCGCCTTCTCCCCGTGACCTTACAAGGCAGGAGAGAGGGTGTCAGCCCTATGGAATTAAGGCCCCACCCTCGTGACCTCACTTGATCTTTATCACCCTCTCACGGGCACCGTGTCCAAATACAGTCACCCTGGGAGTTAGGGCTTCAGCCCATGAATCTGGGGGTCTTTGGGACACAGACCTTTAGTCCATAACATCCAGGGTCAGCATCTCTCCCCTAAGTTAGCACAACAGCCCCCTATCTGGCCTCCACCCAGCAGCCAGTGAGATCTTCCTAAAACCCAAATCCAATCAGGTCCCTTCTCCGATTCTGTGTCACCCTGTCATGTTCAGAGGGTAGTCCCCCCAACACAGGTTTTCACGGTCTACAGTCCCCATACATCTGACCAGCCTCTGGTTTTGACAGACCCGAGTGCCCGCACACACACACTCAATCACACACAGGCATACTTACACAAGCACAATGCCATTTCCTCTGCCTGGGTTGCTTGTCTGTTTCCGCACTCCCATCTGGTGAGTGAACAGCTACTGACCCTTCCAGTCCAAGATC